GTGTCAACACACAGGGTCGCAATGAGTTGGAACTGACTTGACGGCACCTGACAACAACAACTCTATTACAAAACAAAGACTTGACCTGTACTGACTCTAAATACTTGGGGACACACATATACACACCCTGGTTTCAATGGTATTTCCTACTAGTTCACACGAACAGAAGACTCAACTCACAGTTGTCACCACCCAATTTTGTCTCTGTAATGGTGACCTCACTCTAGTGTCATAGTGACAATGGGAAACAAAAGCAGTCGCCACTTCCTGGTTCACCAACGCCAAGCTCCCCTGATTTTGTGTTTATTTTCATCACTTCTTCTCACTCCCCCCCCCCATCCAATCCATCACAAGTCAAATCAATTGAACATCTGAAATATTTCTGAAACCCACCCATCTCCATCTCCCCAGTCATCATCCTAGGCCAAGCCATGATCATCAGTTGCACTCTTGTTGTTGGGTGCCATCAAGTCGATTCCAACTCCTAGTGACTCCATGTGACAGAGGAGAACTGCCCCCATAGGGTTTTTAGGCTGTAATCTTTACAGAAGCAGACGGCCAGGTCTTTCTCCCACAGAGCCGCTGGCTGGGTTCAAACTGCCAACCTTTCGGTGAGCAGCCGAGTGCTTAATCATTGCATCACCAGCTTACTGCAATAGCCTCCCGTTTGGTCTGTCTGATACTAGGCTTGGCCAGCTTCAAAACCGTTCTCCACCCAATAACCAGTGATCTTTGACAAACAAATTCAAACACATCACTCCTCTGCTGGTATACTCAATGACTTCCCACTGTTCTGAAATAAAGCCCTGCCTTCCTATCTGGCCTCCTCCTACACAATCACTCCAGCTTCCCAGGTACTGTACCCCTCAGGGCCTTTGCGCAGGTTGTTCACCCCATCCCCCTTCTCCACTCTTCACTAGAAAAATTCCTCTTTATTCTTCGGGTCTCTGCCTCAGAGAGGCTATCTGCAACCTTCTCCTTTAAATCATGTCCTTCCTGCTCGTTTCTCTTATAATACCCTGTTCTCTTCCTCCACAGTACTTATCACAGTACATAATTATTCATGGGTTCATCTGTTTAATGCCTCTCTCTCCTATAAGTATCTGAGTTTCCTGGGAGCAGGGAGCATATCTGTTTTGCTCACCACTGTTTACACTGAATACCCAGCTCCTGGCACATAGTAGGTGTTAAAAAATATTTACTAAAACAATGAATGAACTTCAGAGACAACAGAAGGAAAAAAAAAGCAGTTAGAACTTTCCCCATGCTAACTGAATGTCTTAAAAATGAAATAATCAAATAAAACCGTGAAAAAACATCAGGGAACATCTTTCGTATCACCCAAGCCACGGCTTTGACTTTCTTAGTCATTTCATTCCATTGCCAGAAGCAGGTTAGGGTTGTTTACCCCAGAGTCTACAGAGCACTGTCTTGGGCATTGAGCTATCAGTTTCCTATACTAGAGTGGGAGGGGGCTATGACCTGGTGAGAGGTGTGAGGGTTTCCAGTAAGGCCCAATGTTATCTTTAAGTTTTTCCAAAAAAGGAAAAACTTAACCAGAAACAACACTGTTCGGTTTTTCCTGTTACAAAACTCTAAATGTGCTTAGGAAGCCTAAAGGTATAAGCACAGACACCAGCTGCTTATAGTTTGTGAATTATAGATCTCTGTGGTTATCTAAGCCATTTCTCTGCATGCAACTCTCCCAGAAAAACATCTGTCTAGCCCTTATGTCATTTTAATAACCCAAATTTCCTTTGGCAACTTATTTCAGTATCTCACTATACTTTAAGATATCTAATCTTTACAATATCCAAATCCTTTCATATGTAGCCGAATTCCCTCTTGCATCTTCAAGAAATATAAGAAAACAACCCTCCGTAACTCACACTCTCTCTTCATATCTGGACAACTGTTACAATATTAAGTCTCCATTCAAATATTTGTTTTAATCTGTTTTTAACGACTATTTCCCCACATTTTATGGCTCTAGGTAAACGACAAGACTAGAGAGCTGAGCAGTGAATCAATCCTACCTGCTGGTCACTTGATTCTGCCTCCCAGATTCATATCTGCTTTGTGACCATGGTACTTAACTGATTCCCATCTAAGCAAAGCTCAGGTCTTTATAACAGATGTATAAATGCAGAATCAATACATTGTGGTTTCCTTCTAACTAAATGTATCCTATATATATGTCAGCTTCCGTTTGGTGTTTTAAAGATGTGTGTCATCACACTAAATTTGAGGTCTGCAAATTCTGAGTCATGATAGAAAGCATAATCTCTTCTTGACTCTAAATAAATGTGACAGGGGCTTATCAAGAAAGCAAATAGAAATATTAACACAGTTAGCTCTTAAGTTTCAGCTTCTGGACCCATGACAAATGTCGAGTCTCTGTAACAGCAACTCTTCTTTGCTAGAGATCAAGACAGACAGACACACACACACACACACACACACACACACACCAGTCCAAGAATTGAGCTTTTGTTTCTGATTTTTAATGTCTAAGGAGGAGTCAAACCATTAGTAACTGGTTCAAGTGACTTTTCTAGCCCAACCAGTTTCTTTCTGTTAAACTTCCGCCTCCCCTGTGCTACTCTGAGTGAAAGTGTGCATATCTCATTCTCCAAATCTTAGCTATCTCAGGCACCCAGGTGATGTACTGGGGCATCAGACGGGCTTAATTTAACTGGGTTGTCCCAGCACCTTGGAAAGTCCCAGGAAGTGGTGAATGGGAAGCTTGCAGTTTCACCTACTGGTAAAGGAGCAAAGAAGTCCTTTGCAGTTGTTAAAAACCATCAACTAAGCACCATCTTCCTGCAAGCCATACTGTACCTTCAGCGGTAATCAGCTCATAGAATAGGAGTAACCATCAAGGAGTACATTGGGGAGAATGAGAAAAATGAAGGTGCAGAGACTGAACCCTTCCTGAAAAACAGAGCTTACAAAGGTTTTCATTCCTCACAAAGCAGTTACAGAATCTTTTCAATCTATACACTGGTCTCTTTAATCCAGGAACACAGAAACATCTTACAAACATCAATCAGGGCTGGCAACAAGCTCTGTTTATAAATAGGGAAACTTGGGTGTTTAAGAGATCAAGCAGCCTGAAGCCCAACAATGAGTCAGGACCAAAGTTGGCACCAGACCCAGGAATCTGGAATCCCCATCTCTGGCCAGGAGATGCACTTCATCTTTCAAGGGGATAAAATGTTCACATAAGAAACAGATGGCCGTGATGAAAGTTAATATCCACACATCCTGGGGCAGGACAAGACAAAGGATGGTCAACAGCAGCCAGCTGAAGTTGAAAAGGAAGCCAACCCAAGGTTCCAAATGTCATTTAATCAGATGGAATATCAGCATTGTTTCAGCTGCTCTTGAATGATGACACTGCTCACTTTATGGCTTGTAAGTTGATGCCAAGAGATACTCCATCCATCCAAACATCGAGGCTCTCTACTTTTTATCTGATTTGAGTTGAGAAAAGTCTCTTCATCTTTAGCAAGATAAGTGAATCAGGTATTGCATTCGCAAGAATGCGTGCTCAAGTTGGACCCACCCTACAGAATAAGGAGCCTAGTAACTTCAAACCGTCTGGCTTTTCCTGTCTCCCTCACAAGGGAAAGTTAAAATATTAGGTGTATATAAGACACACAAACTGAATCAGTGTACTTCATAAACTGTAGAATTTAAGACTTGATTGGCTTGCATATTTAAGGTCCAGAAAAGTGACCCAATTAAAATTAGCAAGGTTAGCTTTTGGTATACTTTAAAAAAAAAAAAAAAAACCAAAGCCATTGCCTCCGAGTTGATTCCAACTCATAACGACCCTATAGGACAAAGGAGAACTGCCCAATGGGGTTTCCAAGGAGTGGCTGGTGGATTCGAGCTCTTAACCACTGCACCACCAGGGCTCCTTTGGTATACTACATGAGAATAATCATCAAATGTTCCAGTGGGTTAAGCATTGCCCTTTCCAAGCACCTATGAAAGAGAATAAATTGGTAACACACTGGAGTGAACTAGGTTTTGACCAGCTTTCTGTGTGAGATGTAGGTACCCTGACACAGAACCCTTGACTGGAGAGAAAGAGATGAGCGACCATTCATAAGGAGTAAGACCAGAGAGAGGAGCTTGACAAACTCCAAAGAGAAACAATGCCTGCTTCCCAGTTTCACTAGGCCAAGGGCTGACCCTGGCTCCAGCCATCACTGGGAAATCCTTAGTAAAAATATTAACCCAGGGCAAACGGGTAATATTTTTCAGTCTGAAAGGAAAGACCAAACTGTTCTAGCATTCTTTCTGGAGGAGCAAATTCTCCTCCCCAGCTCCGTTCCGGGTTGGGCAGTCGGTTAGGTCTCACAGGGCAGCCTGCATTTCCCGTGCCCCGCCCCCCACCTGCCCGCACTGTAATGCCTCTACTCTGTCCCGGGGGTGTCAGTGGGTCTCACTCCTCCAATTAATCCCCGTAGCCCTGGCCCATCCATTCTCACCGCGAAGTGCTCAGGCCAGTGAAGTATCCAGACTTTCTACATAAATTAATGCGTGTATCACATATCCACACTACCCACATAAGGAGGAATTCGCTTGACCCACATATATTTTCAATTCATCAAAAATTCATCAAGCGCTTACTATGTATGTGCTGGGGGCTAAGCAGCGTCCTGCAGATTTAAAATCGCCCCAGGTGACGCACCTACTTCCAAAGAGCTCAAACACTGGGAAAGGTAGGGCGCAGAGCCGAATGAGAAGTCGAAGCCAGGTGAGGGTATGATTACTAGTAGAGAGGATCCCTCTCGAAGGGCCTCTCTTCGTCCGTCCCCTTGAAACACAACAGCGCCGTTTCGGCCGCGCTCAGTCTAAAAGGGTCCCAGCGCCGAGGCCACACGTTTCTTCCTCCCCCCTCCCCCATGTCCCACAGCCCCAGGGCCCGCGCCTTTCTCCGCGGCCCTTCCCTCCACTCCCTCTCCCCTCCCCCGGCCCGCACTCACTGGGTCTTCCTGCGGCCCTGGTCCCGGTGCAGCTCCTGCAGGTCCACCTCGGCGCGGCCCAGGAACTTGTCGAGGCCGAGCAGCGAGCGGTGCAGCACGGTGAGCTGCAGGGTGGCCGCGGCCGCGGGTGCGACCCCGGAGGCCAGCAGCGGCGGCAGCTCGAAGGTGGCCTCCTCCCGCCACACGGGCGCGCCCAGGCTGCGCTCGGACACCGAGGTGGCGTACTTCTCCTTGCCCACCTGGATCACCGCGTACGCGTCGCTCGTGCCGCCGGGGCCCTTGGCCCGCAGGCCCCGAGCTTGCAATACGGTCACCTGCACATGGGTTGGGGACCACAAGGCCCCCGGACTCCGGCCCGCTGAGGCCGCCAGGGACATGGTGACGGCGGCACGGTCAGCTCAGATGCAAGGAGTCGATCGCCGCGAACCGCCGCTTCAACCACCCGTCCCGCAGCCTCACCGCCCCGGCCACTTTAAAGCTTCCGGCCACGCCCCCGCCGGGGCCTGCCTCTCCCGGTCGCGCCCCGCCCCCTCGCCCGCCCCACCTGCCGGCGCCCCAGTCCCGACTCTGCCGCCGCTGCGCTTGGCGCCCGGGGTATCCGGGGCGCCCAGGGTGGAGCTGGCGCAGTTGGGGCCAGGGCGACGACAGGACGTGGAAAGGGCAGGCAGGGGATTTGAGAATTTGGATCTGAGAGGCAGTAGGTGAGCGATGGGGCCGCGAGCTGCACTGACTTAGGAGTCAGACTTCATTTCCAATCTTCTCATCGCCATTTGGTGGGTGTGTGACCATGCGCAGGATCAATTAACGTCTTTAAGTCTCAGTTTCTTCATCTGTAAAATGAGATAACAATCGCCTCGTTACTGTTAGGCAAAAAATAATGCATCACAGTTCTCAGTACAGTGCCTGGCCCGTTGTGAGTTCTTTATAAGCTCACTGCTTTGTCCACTTCTGCCCGCCTGGAGCATTGCTCAGGGGGAAGGTAAGCGCACAGTGACGCCAGGTGGATGGGGAAGGAGAAGGAACATTTATTGGCCTGAAAAGGGGAAGTGAAAGGCTACCACCCCGCAGTGTGGTCGGGGTGGGAGTGTCCTGTTTTGCCCTGCTCTCACCAAATAAGGTGAAGCGAAATGAGGCAAAGGAAAGAAAGGATGAGCTGAAACAGGATTGCCAAACCAGTCATCAGGACCAGAGGCTCTCCCCCAGGTTCCTCATTTCTCCCTGGCTGGGGCCCTCTTCAGTCTCTTCCTCTTTATCTCTGGGGTCTAAAAGTCTACTAGATTGGCCTCTTTCCTTTTTTCCCAGTGCCCTAGCTCAAAGGCTCACCTGTCAGTTGTCGGATTGGGAAGTTGACTTAGAAGACTTTTAGGTTGTACAGTTAAGGAAAGGCCCAAAGCAGAGAAGCGACTTGTTCAAGGTCTCACTAGCTCAGGGTTAGGACTAGAACCCAGGTCTCCTGGCTCCCAGTCCAGTATTTTTACTGCATCCTTTGCCTCTTCGGGATTCTCAGAACTCCAGCCTTGGGTTGCTTCTAGTCTCCCCGCTGGTCTCCATGGCCTCCTCCCTCCAGTCCACACTGCACCTTGCTTCACTAACCTGCTCAAAATCCTACAATGTCACCTCACCACCTACTGCACTAACTTCAGACTTAACAGAGTTTTCAAGACATTCCTATTGTAGCCCCACCTAACTCTTTCTCCTCTATCTCCTGAACAAACAAACCTGGAGCCCAGCTAATCTTCCCACCTCAGGGCCTTTACTAACTTTGTTGTCCCCTTGGTTGCCCTTGCCAAGCCCTACCCACTTCAAGGCTTCACTCAGATGGCTCCAAGCTTCGACTCCCTGTAGCCCCTTTGAGGGAGGGGACCAGATGGTGACTTATTTATATGAGACCCTAGCAGAAACCTGGGTACACAGGTACTCATGAAGTGCTATTGATTGAAAAGTTTGCAGATTATTGCAGCCAGCCATGAGTATATAGTAAAGATTACAGCCAAGAAAACCCTGTGGGGCAGGTTCTACTTTGTGCTGTAGGGTCGCTATGAGTCAGAATCGACTCGATGGAAATAGGATTGATTTTTTTGGTTTTTTACCATGTAAAACATTAGGGGGCAGACAGTATATTGCCTCAAGTTGGCAAACGAGGGCAACTACTGTGTGGGAAAGGCCTCTTTAGTACGTTGTAAATGTAAATACCTAATGGAAACCCTGGTGGTGTAGTGGTTAAGAGCTATGGCTGCTAAGAAAAAGGTTGGCAGTTCAAATCCATTAGGCACTCCTTGGAAACTCTATGAGGCAGTTTTACCCTGTCCTGTAGGGTCGCTATGAGTCAGAACCGCCTCAACAGCAACGGGTTTGGTTTTTGGTTTAAATATTTAATGGTGATAAAGAGGAAGAGAGAAAAGAGGCACCAGACGTGTGGGAGGCAGGAAAATCTTACAGAACTCTATTGTTTTGGTACATTTCCCCTTCTTTAAGATCCATGAACTTCATTCAACCTCACGGCTCAGTTCGGTTCCATGAAGATTTATTGAGAAATTACTTTGTGCCAGGTATGGGCTAGATGGCACAAAGCTGAATGAGACCCAGTTCCAAGGCACTGCGTGCTAAATGCTATAAAGGAAGTCTTGTGTAAATAAAGTGCTTTGAATGTTTTGAAGAGAGAGCAATTTCTCTAACTGGGTAGATTTTTATGAAGGAAATGGCATTGAGCTGGGCCCTAAAGAACATATAAGATTTAGCAGATATGTGGTATATACATACTATGGAATATTATTCAGCCATAAAGAGAAATGAAGTTCTGACACGATACCACATGGATGAACCTTGAAAATGTCATGCTGAGTAAAATCAGTCAGGCACAAAAGGACAAATATTGTGGCCTGAGACTGGAGGAACCCCGGAAAACATGGCCCCAGGACTCTCTGTCAACCAAGAACTAGAACAATTCCCGAGGCCAGCTCTTCAGACAAAGATTGGACTAGACTGTGGGGCATAAAATGATACTCGTGAAGAGCGTGCTTCTTAGCTAAAGTGGATACATGAGACTAAATGGGCAGCTTCTGTCTGGAGGTAAGATGAGAAGGCGAGAGGGTTAGGAGCTGGTTGAATGGACAGGGGAAATCCGAGGTGGAAAGGAGGAGTGTCCTGTCACAGTACAGGGAGAGCAATTAGAGTCACGTAACAATGTATGTATAAATTTTTGTATGAGAGACTAACTTGAATTGTAAACTTAAACTACAACAATTAAAAAAAAACAACAAAAGGACAAATATTGTATGATCCCACTTATATAAACTATCTAGAATAGGCAAATATATAGAGACCAAAGTTAATTAATAGTTTCCAGGCGTGGGTGGGAAGGGGACAAGGGGCGGTATTGCTTAAGGAGCACTGAGTTTCTGTTAAGAGTGATGGAAAAATTTAGAAATGGATAGTGGTGATGGTTACACAACATGGTGAATGTAACTAATGTCACTGAGCCATACATGTAAAAATGGTTGAAATGGCAAATGTTTTGTTTTATATGTGTATAGTTTTGTGTATATATAGAACTACAGTAAAAAAAAAAAAATTGACAGAGAAGGGATGATAGAGGAAGAGTATTTCAGGGGGAGAGAAGAGGACAGCCTAAGCAAAGGCATGGAGGCTAGAGAGTTCATGGCATGCAGAGGGGATAGGAGCACTCGACCTTGGCTGGAGTGTAGGCTACTTTTGGAGGACATTGGGTCATGGAGGTAAGACAGCCAAGGTATGTGGGCCCAGATCATGTAAATCATGAACACCAGGCTAAAGAGTGTATGCCGTAGTGTTAGGCCAGGGTGAGCCAGGCTTCAGAAGATTTTGAGCAGTGACATGACCAGCTGTGCATCAGTTGTAAGGCAGGTGTGAGCAGAAGGAGCTCAGTGTCCAACAGCATGGCAGGTCGTGACCAGATACCTTCATTCCTTTCACCTGGGGATTGTCTGCCTCCAGCCCCAACCTGCCCCACCCCTTACCCATCCTTGATATCTAAGCTGATACTAAATTAAATAAGGCATACGTTTTTGTTATGGATTGAATTGTGTTCCCTAAAAATATGTGCTGGAATTCTAACCCCAATACCTGTTGTAAACCCTGGTGGCATAGTGGTTAAGTGCTATGGCTGCTAACCAAAAGGTTGGCAGTTCAAATCCACCAGGCAGTTCTTAGAAACTTATGGGGCAGTTCTACTCTGTCCTATAGGGTTGCTATGAGTCAGAGTCAACTGGACGGCAATAGGTTTGGTTTGGGTTTTATACCTGTGCATGTCATCTGTCTGGAAATAAGGTTTTCTTTGTTATGTTAATGAGGTCCTATCATTGTAGGGTGTGCCCTAAACCTAATCAGGAGCAGCATAGACACAGAGATAAGCAAGCACAGATGGGGAGAGATGGATGCCCCTTGAAGATTGCCAAGGAAATGAAGAGTGCTGGAAGAGACAAAGACCTCCTCCAGAGCCACAGAGAGAGAGAGAACCTTCCCCTAGAGCTGATGCCCTGAATTCAGACTTCTAGCCTCCTAAACTGTGAGAAAATAAATTTCTATTCTTTAAAGCCACCCACTTGTGGTTTTTGTCTTTTATTTTTTTAGTGAATAATAGAAAATTGGCCAAAGGGTGTGAACTGACAAGTCAGAAAAGAAGAAATATAAATAGACAATAAACATGTGAATCGATGTTTACTAACTTGGTATTTTTGTTACAGCAGCACTAAGGAACTAAAACTATTTTCCTCTTGGCTGTGTTTCCTACTTGTCCACTGTTCCACTATGTTCCATCCGGGCGGTCACAGAACTGACTCTGGGCATAAATTTTTCAGCTCTGGTCTCCCCTTCTTCCTGACACTAGCAGTTTCAGTGGTGCTCTCACAGTAAACAGAGCAAGGAACGAAACAGCCTCACAGGCTGAGTATGAAATGAAACATCTTTTCTACTCACGGAAAGGATGACAGGACAAGGAGGGAGGGGGAGCATGAGAGGAAGGAAAAGTTATTAGCACCTGTGACCTCATGTGTTTGGGTTTCTGTCAGACACAAATAGACTCTGTGATTAAAGCAGAGGCGGTAGGTTGCGGAAGGAGAAGGCTGTCTTACTACCGGGGAGAAATCCACATCCTTCTCCTCTAGATCCTGGACACTGGCAGGGATTAATTCAGAGGAGTGGGACTCACTGGAGGCAGAAATTGGACATTAGAGAAGCACAGGACTTGGGTCCAAACCAAAAAAACTCCACTGCCATCCAGTCGATTCCATAGAACATTAGAACTGCCCAATAGGGTTTCCAAGGATTTGAACTGCCGACCTTTTGGTTAGCAGCCAAGCTCTTAACCACTGCACTATCAGGGCTCCTTGGACTTGGATCAGAGCTGGCTTATTGCCCTCTACACTCCTTGGTTTTTTTTTCTACCCTTCTCCAGGCCAGACCACATTGTCCCTCAAGACTCGCTCACAGACTGCCCAGAAATAAGTCTGTCTACTCCCAGTTTTGCAGACCCACAGTCTGGGCTGAGGGGTGCGCAGGCAGGAGGATGAGCTGGCCACTGCAGACCCTCCCTCTCCAGCCACCGTGGAGGCTTCACCTGGCTGCCCCGCTCGCCCTTTCCCCTCTGCAGAAGGCCGGGGTGTTTGTAAACACCTCCCATGGCCTAGGTGTGGCAGATGACTGCTCTTTCTTCCCACCCAGCCCCGCCTCTCTCTCTGACTGAAAGAGGAAGAGTGTCAGGTAGCCCTGAGCACACAGACCAGGTGCCTGGCAGGTTAGACAGGAAAAGCTGTCCTTCCCAAGAGCAGCAGAGCAGAGTGCCTGGCTCCCAGCCCCTGGAATGGTCCTGGGCCTTTCTACAGACAGCAGGCAGGATGCCCAGGACAGCTGGGAAGAATTTTCCTGAGTATCAGAGATCTTGGAAGGCCATGCTGAGGGTGGAGCGGGGAGGCAGAAGGAGAGTCTTCGATGGCCCTGTGGTCAACCACCCCTCTCCACAGCTGTTCCTCATCCACCAACTGCAGGAACAATAAAGCAAAGGTCATCTCTGGGTAGCTGTGGTTGCCTGATACTGCGTAGTGGGCCCCGTGGTGACCCCATGTACAACAGAATGAAACCCTGCCCAGTCCTGCGAC